GCAGGAACGCACTCACATCACCTCACAGAGAGCACATCTGATGAAGACTCTCATGACACTGAACAGACCTCTCCTCCACAGGGAAACCACTCACTGAATCAATGATGGATAAAAAGACATCCTACATGTTGCCTATTTGAACTATTTTCATTTTGTTTAGATGAAAAACCAAAGATGTCCCCATATCTGGTTTTCAAAATATATCTTATAAAATTAATATTTATTTATGGATAGGGCCAGATAAGGCTCTGAAAGCTAATGAGAGAGATTCCTACAGAGAATATGCAATAAAATTAACTCATTAATCATGACAGTCATAGACTATATATTTCTGTAAAAGATAATTTCAATTCAGTCTTCAAAGAATGCCTCAGCTTTTATTAATCTTCAGGAAACGTACCTCATTTGGAGAATACTCGCTCCCATTACTCTGTGATGTTAGATCATTTTGCACCTTAAAGAAGAAAAAAAATGCATGATATGTTTCATTAGACTATAAAATTACTGAGGCAAGAACTGGGTCTTTCTTACTTCCATCACATCCCTGGCACATAGGCAAACAATGAGTATATACTGAATTAGTTAATTAGTGTGTCAAGTAGCCAAGTAGGTTATATTTATATTTTCTAAAAACATGCAGCTGTATTCACAGAAAAATACATCTAAAGTATCACATAAACTAAGCAAAGGGATTTGGCAGGGCAAAGAGGTCAGTCCAAACCATCTGTGACCAGCCACCTGCAGGCTCCAACCCCCATTTTAACTATAGGTTTTTATAAATGATTCAAGGCAGTAGTTCCCAAATACACAGAATCTCATTGTGAGCTTTTATTAAGTACAAAATCCTGGACCCCAAATTACCTGGGAAAATCTTATGCTGTTAATTCAACATCAGTTTGCTTTCACAACAAATGCTTATTTTACCCAGATATATCTTCTTTATATGGTAATCAAGAACCCCATTAAGACAACTCAGCACCAAACAAACCACCAACCCAATCAAAAAGTAGACAGAGGACCTAACAGACACCTCTCCTAAGAAAACATACAAACTGCCAGTAGATATATGAAAAGATATTCAACCTCACTAGCAATTACGAAAATGCAAATCAAAACTACAATGAAATACTACCTCACACCTGTTACAGTGGCTGTTATCAACAAGACAAGCAATAACAAGTGTTGGAGAGGTTGTGGAGAAAAGGGAACCCTCATTCACTGCTGATGGGAACGTAGACTGGTACACCCACTATGGAAAGCACTCTGGCAATTCCTCAAAAAATTAAGAATAGAGCTACCATACGACCCAGCAATCCCTCTCCTGGGTATATACCTAAAGAACTCAAAAACATGTATTCACAAAGGTATATGCACCCCTATGTTCACTGCAGCATTATTCACAGTGGCCAAGACATGGGAACAGCCAAAGTGTCCTGCAATAGAGGACTGGATAAAGAAGCTGTGGTGCATGGACACAATGGAATACTACTCAGCCATGAGAAAGGATGAAACACTGCCATTTGCAACAACATGGATGGATCTTGAGAATATTATGCTAAGTGAAATAAGTCAGTCAGAAAAAGCTAAGAACCATACAATTTCACTCATACGTGGGATATAAAACTGAAACTCGCGGACATAAACAGCAGTGTGGTAGTTGGCAGAGGGAAAGGGGTGAGAGGTGAAGGGGGTCCTAATATGTGGTGATGGGAGAAGATTTGACTTTGGGTGGTAGGCACACAGTGTGATATACAGATCTTGTAACATAGAAATCCACACTGAAACCCATATTATATTAACCAATGTCACCCAATAAATTTAATAAAAAAAGAACCCCATTAATGCACCTTAATAAAAAATCTGGTGATGGCTAATATAAAGATCTTCCCAGATCTTCACAAATTAGTATAGATTTAAGATACCTTTTCCTATTCCTATTATTGAAGAGTGCTATTAAAAAATATTCCCTACTTTCACAAATCCCAGGAAAAAACATATTTTTAGAATAAAATATCATTAATTTCCCTACACAATTAAATGGCTTTATTAGAACTATTCACAAGTAACTTTAGGTTTGATTCTCTCCACAAGTAGCTCCTTCCTCTAATTTTTCCTGTTGTTCCACCCCTGCCCCCCCAACATCCTTCCCCATTCAATATTATTTACGTATATGAGAATGTAATTTGCAAGTCTTTCTGAATGGATGTCAATGCTACCCAAACATGATATGGACAATCTTCTAAAGTGTGTTCATGGTGAGATATGATGTGCTGCCAATTACCAACCACTTCATAATCTCACCTATGGAACTGGGCACCACCCACTTCTCACTGTCCTGAATCCACCACGACCATGCTACCCTTCTCAGCACAGCCTCTGGACCGAGTCAAGTCCAACTGTCCCCCAAGTCTAGGTTACTTCTTTCTACTTAAACTCTCTATTCCCCTTCCCCCATCTCTCAGACCACCTAAAATCCTCATGATTACAAACTATCTCATAGTCTTCTCTGGCTGTTTCAATATATGTCTTCTTTTTTCCACAATTTGTTTTTCCTCCACAATTTTTAACATGCTTAAAAGTGAGGGTAACTTTCATATCTTTCATATAGAAGTTCCTGACAATAAAAACAAGGCTGAATCCAGCACAGGTACTCAACAAATACTAATTCATTCAAGACTTTGCTAAAGATATTGCTTTCTTCCTGAATGTGATGGAAGAGAGAATATAAGAATAGCCAACTCAAATGAAGATCACATTTAAGTTCTGCATAATCATTAGCACTGGCTAACCCACTAATTTCTTTTCTTTTCCTCCTCCTTGTGACTTCTGTTTTCCACTAGAGCCAGCTAATACGTCTTCCTTTTTTAAAATCATGAAGATATGTCTGTCACAAACAGAGAATTGCTTTAGGAAGGGAAGAAAATGAGTAACAATTTCTTATACCGAATGATCCTCATTCAACCAAAAAGAGAAAAGAAAAACCTTCTATTAACACAAACAATGTAAATCAGAGATGGAGTGGAGATAATTTTTTTCTAGAGATTTTGTGCCTGGTACTCCTAAAATTATGTACACAGGTGGGCATCTATGTTACAAGAGTCAAAAGTGAGTCTGCGGCAGGATACTAACATGGTCTCCAAGTACCTCTTCCCTGACTGCTCACTGATTGCAAGGATAAAATAGAACAGTAATTATACAATGAAGTCACCTTGACTGGATGGTCAAATTAGCATCACCAATGAGGCCCAGATTAACACTGTGCCTCCAAATATGATACCCTGAGAAGAACACAACATCACCTGTGCAGTATCTCCTAAAATGCAGAAACTCAATCTAATCATGAAGAAATATGAGTGACTTTTATTCCACAAAATAAGGGGCTCCCATTTAAAAAAGAAAAGAAAAAGGAGGGCCATATTCTTCAAAATTCTAAGGTCATAAAAAGCAAAGAAAGGTTTTAGAAATGTTCCAGAATAAGGTACACTATAGATATCCGAAAACTGCCTGAGTCTAGACTGACTACTACACTGGAGAGGAAAAACCCACTATGAATAACATTAGATCAACCTAAATATTTGGAATATGGGTGGTAGATTAGATAAATGTTTTATCTTTGTAAATTTATAAAGTTGACAACTGTGGTTATGTAAGACAAAATCCCTTTTCTTAGAAAACATACACTGAAATGTTTAGCAATAAGGGACTATGATATATGAAACTTACCCTAAAATTTTCAGAAAAAGAAGTATATATGTGAAGAAAGAGACAGAGACAGAGACAGAGACAGAATAAATAATACTGCAAATGTTGTAAAATGTTAACCATAGGTAAATCTGGGTAAAAGGTTGTAAGTTTTTGTAATCTTTTGTAGAATCTTATAATTCCCCTCACCCCAAACTTTAATAAGGGTAAAATTATTTCCAAAAAAGCATCTTTAAAAAAATACATGGGGCCCTGGCCAGGTGGCTCAGTTAGTTGGAGTGTCATCCTGTGCACCAAAAAGGTTACAGGTTGGATCCCCAGTCCGGGTGCATACGAGAGGCAGCTGACCCATGTTTCTCCCTCACATCGATGTTTCTCTCTCTCTCCCTTCCTCTCTCTAAAATGAATAAAAACATATCCTTAGGTTAGGCTTAAAAAAAAAAAAAGTGGGCCTGTACAGAACCACAAGTGGCATGTCTCGAAAGGAGCTTGATGAAATGGGCCCAGGGCAGCTTCAAAGAACAGACTTCCTGATATTCCACTATTGGGTAATTCCATGACACCTCCACCCAGGGAGGAGGCGGTGCAGCGATTCCATCTAAGGACCACACCAGTAACAATAATAGAGTAGTAGAGTAACAGTACCAGCTATCATTTAGGTGTTCTCAGCTGTGAAACCAATCCCAATTTATAGAAAGTGAAGGTGAAGTTTAGAGAAGTTACCCATAGTCAGCAAGACTTTGAGATGTAACTGAAACAACATAATTCCAAGTTGCTGAGCTTAACAATGAAACCATACGCTCTGGAAGCATAGCTTTTTCAATTGCAGTTGTCTTCCTCCTTACTTAACACAGATACTTAGCTAGTTAAGAGTGTGAAACTGCTTTTTACTACAGTACCTGTTCAGCCACCTCAGGGGACATAAATCAGTTTGTACAGCAATTAGCCATCCTAAACCCATCCACTGAGAAGGGATGATGAAGTAGGTGGTACCTGTTTCACTCTTGAGTCACCAGCCCAAATCTACCTCTCCATGACTGTTTCTTTGAGACCTCCTAGGCTCATCTCTAGCTTTATGTCAAAACTGGTTTAGAAGGCAACCCAATGTAATTCTACTCCTACTCTGTCCACAGATATCCCCATGTTTCACTTTGCTAGATTCTTTTAATCTTCCTAGGCATTTTCCAAATCACTGTTGTCGAATTTCAAGTTTGTTCTAGTTTATTTGCAGCTGGCCAGTTCATAGGCTTCTTTCCTGGCTCTAAAATTCACACTGACTGCTCCTGCCTCCAGTTTCTGACACATAGCAGGCTCCCTATGGATCTTAGTTGCTGTCGCCTGACTCAGCAAGACTGACACAAAAAAATTTTGACAATTTAATGGAAACAGCCAACTCTTCTTACCTTTAATGGAAGGTGACATATAATAGATAAACAGGAAAACTAAAGAGGGTAAAAGTATAAAAAATTTGAAAAACAGATCTTGCACCCGTCTGCCTAGGGAATGTTCTACCCCATGATAAATCTTTATAGAATATGGAGGCCACTATTCTGTGGCAGAACATTGCATGCAGCTATGCTGAATCCAAGAGCAGCCTTACCTCACACACCGGAGATGTCTCCAGCTGCATCTGACCACTGTAGGTATGAGGGGGGAAAAGATGTAAAGTGGAATTTAAAGCACACATATTTTGATGTAAAAAGAGAAAAAATTCAGTTTTAAAAGAGTTCAACATACTTTAGTGCAGAATCTTGTAATTCTAAGGCTTCTGCTGATTCCTTAGGATAAAGGTTTACCACACTTCTCTCTGTAATATCCGTGCTTAATCTAAAGAGTAGAGGAAAGAAGATGTTAGTAATTTATTAAAATTTTAATAAATCCTACTGCTTTTGGTCATATTTAGTTTAAAATTTTAATATATTAAAAAGTTATGTTTACCGTTAGGATTAAGTAAGAATGGTTTATGGTAGAAATTTCAAACTACATGGTATTTCCCTATGATGTGCCATATTTAATATAATTTTCTGACTGCTATTGGTATCACAATTCAACTTATTTGCAATATAACAGTAATTTCTGATAGTCATAATATTCATAGGTAGTACACAATAAATTTTATTCTAGAATTTAATTAATTTACAGAAGCAAGCAAAGTTGCTAAGGATACTATATTATGGTATATAGGGTCCTTTGTTTTAAAAGGAAGATCTCTCTGATATACACTAACATCCTTATTAAAAAAAAATAATTCATAAGCAATTTCATATGCATTTTTATTTTTGAAAAAGTTCTTAGCTTCCGAATTTCTGCAATTTTAAAACCAGGAATTTCTGTAAGTTATATAAAGGTTACAAAGCTATCTTAAAAGGTAGGAATGAGTTCATATTATACATACCTATTAAAAATGTTATAAAATCAACAATTAGAAATCCTTAAGAGAAGAAGCCAAGGTAAAGGCAAAATAGAATAACTAACAAAAGCCTCAATCTATGAAATATAAGATAAAGAAAATATCCAATGTGGATGTAAAGTTTTTATTACTAATAGTCCCAAGCAACTGGAAATAAACAACCTCTTGAAGTGTCCTCTTTTTATAAGCAACAAATACAGGCCTGGATCACAGAAGCACTATTATAAAGTTAGAAGATATTATAATTATTACATAAGATATTATAATAATAATTTCAGGATGAACAAAGATCTAAAGCAGCCAAAGTAGTGGATTATTTCAGGGAGGAAATAAAATCCATATAACACTTTACAACATAATATAATTTTAAAATATCAGCCCATAAAGATGCAAATCATTTATCACTTGGAAGGTTGCTTGGAGGTGTTTTCTTCCACAGTTCGGCAAACACCCACCATTCCCACTTGCTTAACATCTTTGGCAATTCATTGCTTCAGACATTTCCAAACTGGAGAGGAAGAATCTTGAGATTCTCAGTTCATCCCACTCCTCATGAAGGATGGCAAAACTGAGGCCCAGAGCAGGGAGTCACTCCCTCCAGGTCACTCAGGTCTTACTCCTGGGTCCCAGTCCCATATTCCCATGCCACTGCTATTTTCACTGCTCTTTTTTGCTTTGGGGCCCATATACTAATCAGTTTAGAATTTATCATAAAAACTCATTGGGAGAGTGATACAAGATGTAAAAGGCAGAAGTATTAAAACAATATAAAATTTGAGCCCAACTGTGGCCTTCTATGTCACGTCTTGTCTTCAAGGCTATGTCTTGGACTCACATTTCATTCCCATCAATTTGCTTGCCCTTGAACCACACCCTCTTCTACAGCTTCTGTTACTTCAGTACCTTGTTTAAATGACTTTCCAATCTAACTCTATAAGTCCCAGAACTAAACATCTAGCAGCTGAATGTATATCACCACACTGCCACTTTGGATACTATTCAGCATGTCCTAAGCTGACCCCAACATCCTCTTCAAACTACTGTCCCTCCTGATTCCCCATCTCAGACAGAGATAACACAAGCTCAGGTCTAAAACACTTTGGACTGTTCCCTCTCAGCCTTCTCACCACCCACTTCATATAATCATCAAAGAACTACAATAGTACCTACCACTGAATATCTATAATATACAAAAGTATTAAAAAATATTTAGGAACACCTACAGAAATATCTCCATCATAATATATTTCCTTCCAGTTTTAATTTTTTTCTTAGCTTCTTACGCATTTGAAACCTAATTCTATTTATATAATTGGGATCAAACTTTATGCATTTCATATACTTTTTAACATTAGCATTACATAATGAGCATTCTAAATATACTGGAAACTTTAAAAAACATTTTATTGGCTACATTATATTCCACCTTATTAATGACCAAAATCTATTTCCTTTTTTCCAAGTATTTACTATTAAAAACACCCCCCCAATCTTGGTTCATATCCTTTTGTCCATTAGGATAAGTTTTTAGAATTCTTTTAAATAAATGGTTTCTATCTTTTTTAGACCACAACTGCATTACCTTCTCACTAGTAGCTTATATACTATTTCAATTCCTCACAACTCTAAAAGGTAAGTACTTGTAACACACACACAAGCTCTTTTGCCCGTTTCCTACACTTACTAACCACCTTTTCATAAATTCCCAGAGCCCAGCCGAAATCAGTGTGGTGTGATTTCCACATTGACCACATCACAAGACCACATTATCTTCATATTTAAATTCCTAGGACCCTTGAAAAGTTTACCAGGGATAAGCTTTGGATCTATTTCTCTGGTGACAAGGCAGTTATTACCTGATATCAGGAATACTGTCTTACTGAAAAATATTTTGTCAATGGGAATTTCATTATCCTTAACTAAGCAACCATAAAGATGAATCTAATGTATGTAGTAGTGCCTGTTATTGACAGTGGCCAATTCAATTAAAAATTACCTTGTAACCCAAATCTTTAGAAATATATTATTTAGTTAACATATTTTTAGTTAACTTATGCCAAGTATTACCATCAAATAAACATGGTAGTGCTTGGCATAACCATTCTTCCCTTTTTGGAAAATCTTCTTGTAGTTCTATAAATCAGATATTACCATATTTCTGTTTTCTAGTAATTATACCAAAAATTCCCATTTGAAGAGTGAATTCCTCAGGAAGAATGAATAAATTTAACTAAAGGGTGGAGAAAAGGGAGAACTGGTCTCAATCCCTCCAGAAGTTTGACTCTTAATATGGATCTTGGGAAAACAGGCAGTTAAAATGACTTCCCTGTCAGTGGTTAGATGGAGTCATATTGTGTATATAATGATATAAAGTGAGATAATGTACTCCCATGAATTAGTGTGCATTATTTGCAAACGAAGCCTGGGCCAAAGAAAGACATGCATACCTGTTGGGATCTTGTAGCAAATCTACTGCTTCTCTCAGCTGTTCAATCATCGCTATAGCCATGTCCTCGTCTTTAGATGAACTTATTCCGCAGCATGAAACCAGGCATGAGAATGAAAACAATCACAGAACATGAATATCATCTAGGTTCTTAGGAGCAAAATTATAAAAATCCATCTAATATATAAAAAATGATTTTGACTTTAACATTACAATGAAGACCTGTCAGAACCCTGTGGGATAGGTTGCCAGAATATCGTGGAAAAAGCTCCTGGATAGGGGAAGCCCGGCTCTGCTTTGTGTAAAGCAACTCACACAGTCTCAATGCCCGTCAGCCTCCACCTGCTCACGTGTACAATCTGGGCAATGGGCCACTGGGGGTGGTTCTCACACTACTTTCCTGAGCCCCAGGAAGATCCACAGTGGAGCTCGGCTGGGGCAGGTCTGCACTACTTCCAGACCTTCCAACTCCAGTTCAACCAGTGTGGCTCAGTTTTATAGCTTTCATACAATATGGGATTTCAGTGTGGGAGAGTGGTTCTCAGTCTAAGCTCTATATGCAGCAAAATCATCTGCAGCACTTAAAAAACAAAAGCCAGGCCTGATAGTCCCAAGAAGGTCTGACTGGGGTTTGGGCATTTTATTAAACTGTACAGATGATCCCAATTTATAGGCAAGGTTGAGAACAATACATATAAGATTAAAATGGGGTTTTCAAAGCTTTAAATAGTTTTTAAAACTCTTTCCCTAGAATTCTATGAATCTATAATCAAGTTAGGCCTCCTTGCCATCATAGAAATATATCCAATGAATGCTGGATGGTGATTTGAAAGGAACTTTTTAATGCTTTTAAAGGGTAAGAGAGATTTGAGCATGGTTACTCCTTTCCACTACAGAAGATAAGTAGAGAGATTTTTTTAACAGTGTGGTAAATCTTCTAGATGGGGAAAAACCCCATAAGGTATGATGGAAGGCCCAGGCCTACATGCCACATCATGGAAAACAAAATCCTATGAACCAAAATTCTACTCTATGACACATGGTCCAAACTCAGTTCCCCAGGAAATGGTCCACTGGCTGATACAGATCACTCATGCACTCCCCCATAAAGCCTGTCAAGTGAAACAACAGAAGAGAAGGGATATCCTCCTGCTGTGAGATTCCCTGGGTTCAACAGGGCCCTCTGTAACCCTGCGGCAAATTAATCAATCATTTTGTGTCTCAGTTTTGTCATCTGTGAAATGGGAAACAACAATTTGAACTTATAGGATTGATGTAAAAGTGAAATGGGTTACTACCTGTGAAGTACTTAGGATAGAGCCTGACATGTGGCATTTAATAAATGCTAGCTATTACAATTATTAGACTTAGGGTCAAGGCATTAGAGGCCCATGATTTTCCCAAATCTTGAAACTGAAGAGCCTGGGTAAAGGGGGACCAGGACTGCTTTAGGTCCAGTTGTCGGCTCCGTCACACAAATGGAAGCTAGATTCTTCACTTTAGAAATCCTATCTAGTTGCCTGAATCATATTTCTACCTCAGTCTCAAATCTGATAAAACCTGGGGCCAAGGAGAGGTATGACCTTGCACGGTACTGCCCTAATACTGTGACAATAGCATCAGGCAGAGGGAAACTGGCTACTTCTTATCAATATCTTTGGGTAAGAATATCAGCTTGCCCAAAGAAAAGCAAACCAGAATTTTATCATGACAGGGCTTCCATTCTGCTTAAACTATGAACTTTACAGGATAGTGGCTCATAACCAGGCCTCGGTACTCACATTCCCTCGGGCTGCCAGTGTGTGTCCTCTTCTATCCGTAACAGTTCCTCACAGTCCTCTGTCCTAGCCTGTGGACAGAACACATGGGTTTTCTGATAGTCTCTGGCCATCAATAGTCAACAGTCAAACCCTACCCCAGCCCATGTCCATGGCAGCACTACTCACAACATCCGAAGGTGAAAACAACCCAAGTGTCCATCAATGAATGAATGGACAAACAAAATGTGGTCAGTGCATACAGTGGAATATCATTCAGCCTTAGAAAGGAACGGAATCCTGACACACACCTGCTACAATGTGGAGGAATCTTCAGAACATTGTGCTAAGTGAAATAAGTCAGGCACAAAGAGACATACTATATGATTCCCCTTTTATGAGGTACCTAAAATAGTCAAATTTATAAAGATAGAAAGTGGAATGGTAGTTGCCAGGGCTGGGGAAGGGGAAGAATTGGGGAGACAGTGTTTAATGGATAAAGAGTTTGTTTTACAAGATGAAAAGAGTTCTAGAGAATGGATAGTGGTGATGGCCACACAATGACATGAATGTACTTAACACCATTGAATTTTACACTTAAAAAATGGCTAGGATGGTAAGTTTTATGTTATATTTATTTTACCATAATTTCTGTCAAAAATTTAAAACTTAATTCCTTACTGCCCTCTTAGCACCTCCTGATGTCCAAAGATTCTTCTATTGGGCTTGTCAGTCACATGAGAATGCATTCTGGCATTTGTGAGAGAAGGGTGTATGTGTATTTGGGTAAAAAAGAATGGATAAAATACTTAAGAACAGAAAATGCCTCAAATGACATCTAATTGGTTTCATGTATGCAACATCCAGATTTCACTGAAATCCCCTCCCATTATTTTCCCAGAGAACATCGGTGGGAGTATTGGAAAGGTGATTCCATCGTTGGAACTTCCACATGCTTCTTTCTACTTTCTTTTCTGACACAGAGGAATGTTGCTTTCAGTCAGCCAACAGCTAGAATAGAAGCCACCCTGAACGAGTGTACATTTCCCTGGAAAGGAAGGAACAACAGCCCCAAGGACTATTTTCTCTTTCAAGGTTCTGACACATCATTAACTAACTCAGTCCCAGCCAATTTTCCAGATGTGTCACTGAGAACAAGTCTTTTTCCAAAGAGGTGGCTTGCCACCTGATGCCAGTCTCTGGCTTGAAAAATACTCAGACATTTTCTATATTGATTTTACTTTTAGTGCATAATAAAGTCAACATGTAAATTCCTGTGCCACACTATCCAAATGATATTAAAATTCATGGGAGAAAATATACTACCAGGCATGACTGAGAAAATGTGTTCATATCTCTTCTTGTTGGGCTTCAACTACAGGAGCCATGGGTGTTTCCTTCTAATTTTCAGTTTCATAATAAAAAGTAGCCAATAGTATGAAACATTGGTTTTCTTTCAGTATGCAAAATAGGGCTTAATGGGTTCCTTTTGCCAAGTTAGACAGTTACATAGTTGATCTTACTCAATAAAATTTACTTGTAACCCCAAAATCAATACTTGTGGTGCTCTGAGTATTCGCAGACACTACCTAGAGTGGTGAAAAATCTCAGTGCCTCACATGTCCCAGCTGACGATGAACAAGGAGACACTCTGCCTTCTTGTTTCAGCTCTCACAATGTAAACAAATGTCCTGTTCAGTCTATTTAGTGTCATTTTCACATTTTTGTACTTTTTTGGGGTGATTTCACTGTTTACAATACCCCCAAGAATGGTGCTGAAGCGAGGTCTCATGTTCCTAAGCACAAGAAGGATGTGATGTCCCATAACAGAAAAACGTGTTAGACAAGCTTCATTTAGGTATGAGTTAGTGGTGTGGGCCACAAGTTCAATGTTAATGAAGCAACAAAACATATAAATAAAGTATCTTTAAATAGAAACACACATAAATACAATAAAACACAATAAGGTTATGTAATGACCATTTGACAGGGAACCTAACCCTGCATTTACCCTTTGGAAAAATGGCTCAGTATTTGATAATTCAGTGTTTGAGGCAACTTTATACAACAGAACTACTGCAAATAATGAGGATCAACTGTAGTTACAAAAACAAAAGATGCTAGTTCAGTGAAGGAGGGAGAACAGGATTAAATAAAACACAGAACTCTGACTCCTCCAGGACTGAGTGGTCGGCACACTGTCGGCTGTCAAGCACACTCTCACAGGCTCTTAAAGTGATGCAACTCAAGGCTAAAAGAGGCCTGGTTTTCAATGTGGTGGGCCTTTTCACCGTAGATTTAGGTTTTATTTTATTATTAGCGTTCTTCATTCAACTTTCCAGAGAGGCCTCTTGAAGGAGTGGACATCTAGGAAACATTTGCAGAGTAGGTTCCCCTGTTAAATCCTCTAGACTCTACCCACAGGCTCCATTCTGTAGAGCAGCCATTTCCACAAAGCCCTTTGCTTCCTAAAATCTCTGAATCTAGGGAAATCTGCTTTTCTGAAACAATATGCTTTATTTTACTAATTGCTTTTATTGTTTTCCTTCAGGGTTTCCACCTTTACTTTAGATTCTCACTCAAGATGAACTCTTCATGAACTAAAGATGAAAGCCCAATTTTTTATATTTTGTGACAGGCTTATCGCAGAGCTGACAGACAGGGGTCAAATCTGGGAGAGCCTTGTGAAAGCCACTGGCCTCAGAGCAATGTCATTAGATTTGTACTTTAGGAGAATGGCTCGTAGCAGAACATAGAGTATGTGTGTGCACACAGGCATGTGCATGCAGAGGGTAGGATGTTGGGTAAGAAGTTGGGGTGGAAGAGACTTCTGCAGACATCAAAATTAGAAATGTAAAATCCACTAAAGCAATTTCAGTGCAGGTAGAGGGCAGAAACACCTCCCTGAAACTACAATGGTTTGGACTGGTCTTTCCAAAAAGGGAAGACATTCACTTCCAGATCCTGAAAGTCTCCATTTTTCTCTTTATACTGTGGACATACTCCCAAGAAAAGCATTTATCTACAATACATTTAAGAGAATGCGGAACTTGTCTAGTTTAGCTTTTACTGAATGGTAAACTCTGATGTTTAACTGATACGATGCACTGAGCAGTGGAAAGCTAAGTAATTTCTGAATACAAGAGAAAATCATACACATATGCCGACAAATGGAAAGGTATGTAAGGGAGGAACTGGTTCTAATGTCAGAAAATAAATATGCCGAGGCTCTGGTGGGGTAGCTCAATTGGTTAGAACGTCGTCCTGATATGCCAAGGTCGGAGGTTCAATTCCTGGTCACATATGAGAATCAACAAATGAATGCATAAGTAGAACAACAAATCGATGTTTCTGTCTCTCCCTCCTCTCTCTGTTTCTTTCTCTCCCTCTCTCTGTCTCTCCACCTCTCTCTTTCTACAATCAATGAATTAAAAAAAGAAAAAGAAAGATATGCTGAGCTCTGAGAAGATGTTATAAAGGCCTGAGTAAGGTGTCAGTAAGTTGACATTTAAGGTGATGGATTGGTAACCTTGAACTAAACAGAAGTAAATAAATAAATAAATTAGTTGATCCTCAACTTGCCTTATTATAGTTTATAAATTCTGAATCGAGAGCATCTGTTCCATGGGTAAATTGGTCTCTTTCTTCTCCTGAGTTGTCACTGTCACCCACAAGGGAAGGCTCTGATTGAAATTCCTGATGAAATTCCCCTATTAGAAAAATATAGAGACAGGTAGAAAGCATGATTTCACAAACAGATGAACAAAGCACAGAGTACCCTGAAATGTATCATCTAATTATTTCAGTCTTCTCTCTTACCCCTTAAGGAGGTATATGAATGACCCAAGTTTTCTCTTCCCTGAATAATGTAAGGAAAAGAAGACAAGAGGCGGAAGAAAAGTAAAAAACACTGAAAGCCCCAAACTGAACTTAAAAGTCAAAGGCCTCTATATGGCTTAGTTCCTCATGAAAAAAATGAAGTTTCATCTTGCTTTTCTAAGGCACAGAAAGTATAAGAGAGCTTTTGTGCTCTCGGTAACGTGTGATGAGTAAATATTTCAAATTCAAAATTCAACAAATACTTATTGAGCAACTTATTTAGCAACTAAGTATGCTAAACATTGTAGGGATTTAAAAAGCTAGTCAAACCTGATTCATGGTCCTTACGTAGCAAATAATCTTAAGGAAGAGTATGGGAAGAAACTAAGAGAAGAACCCAACATCCTAACAGCAAAAGATGTGCCTATGGTAAGGGCCACATAGGGAGGAAAGCATTTTCAGAGCACATCCAACTAGACCCTGTTTCAGAGGGTATAGGGGAGGCCAAAGGATCACCAATGTCTTCCCTCTGATATGAAGACTAAAATGGATCATGTAGGGCCACCATAAAGGATCCTGGACAGAATACTCACTTCTATAACAGACAGAAAAAAACTCACTACTAACAAATTATATAATTATTTTACTTTAAAAATTTGCCTAAAACACTTTCTGCTACACTGCATGATGTAATAAAGCTTATCTAAATTAGTGAAGTGGCAGTTATATTTTTGCATAAAGTTTACAGTTATAGTTTTGGACAACATATGGTTCCAATCATGAGCTCAGACGAGCATAAATGCTAAACTTAAGTGCTCAACTTAAAAACCTAACTGTAAAAAGTGAAAGCAAACATTAAAGTTCGAGTTAGTTTAAACGGCTCTCCCATCACTACGGAGAGCATAGTCAAACTATTAAGGAAATAATCTGCCTATTAATTTAATTCTATACTATTCATACATCATGAAATAGTCTCTGTCACAAATCAGGAAACATTAAATTTTAGTATTTTCTTTAAAAGTCACTGAATAAACAGGAGCAGCCAAAATGCTGTCATAATGTAATCAAATGAGGGCTTCTCACCAAGATATGAAATATATTTCTAGGATTCTGAAACTATGCAAGACACAGAATGCTTAGTGATCATTCGGTGTTTTCAAAGAACCAGAGAATTTTAAAGTTACAGAAGCAGTTAGAAATTACCTAATCTAATCATCTAATTATTTACAGTGAGAGAATTAAAGTCCATTGACTTGTCCAAAGTCAAACTGGGGGATATAACTCTACTACATCTCCGACCCTCACGTGTTAGCTGTGGCCATGCAACCAAGTCTAGCTTATAAGTGATGGATGCTCCTCCCAGGCGCAGTCCATAAGAACTTCCTGTGAGCAAACCTCCATGTTCTTCCCCTTCTGCCTTGAAACAGAAGGATTCAGAAACTTTAGAAGTCTTATGTTAAAGACAGCGAAGTCACAGCACGAAAGAAGCTTGGGTCCTTGAATCGCCATCTGGAGGGCAGTTGTTTGTCAATCACTAACTCCTATTTGGACTTAATTTGAATTGTGTTAAATCAATGAAATTTGGAGATTTTATGTGTTACAATAGCTAGAGTTATCCTAAATAACATATCTACATATATTTTCTTTCCAACAATGGATTTAAAGAATCCGTACAAATCTTCAGAATGAGAACAGCTTTACTATTTACTAGCTGCATGACCACTAGCAAGTTACTTAAGCTTTCTGAGCCTCAGTTTCCTCTATAAAATTGAGATAATTAGACTATTGACCTCAGTTGTGAACTTTCAATGAGATCATCTTCACAGATTAGCACAGTACCTGGAGCATAAGAAATGTGCAATAAAAATTTATTATTATTGCCATATTTGTGCATATTGTAAACACAGCATTTGAATGTTAAAAACAGACCTTTTACTGGACTAAGGTGATGGCATGAGTCCTCCTTAATGATCTGTTCCTCTTCCATGATATTTGACATTGGCACATTGAGGCTAACAGTGTCTTCATCAGAAGGCTAGAAAGAAACAGGGCACTGCTTCATTCAAGGAGAAGTGTTATCAATATAGATTAAGAGAATGCTATATGGTTAAAAAAAACAGAGTGTGAGTCTCAAAAGCATAATATTGGGTAAAAGACACCAGATACAAAGGACAAGTCCATTTATTTAAGTTCAAAAATGGGCAAAACTAATCCATGGTGTTTGAAGTCAGGATAGTGGCTGCTCTTGGTTGGGTGGGTGGGCACATGAGTGGGGCTTTCTGGGGTGCTGGTAAAGTACTGTTTCTTAAACTGGGAGCTGGTAATATGGTTCACTGTTCTAAAGTTCATCGAGCTAACACTTATATTCTTTTCCATACATGTTTTGAGCTGAAATTTTGTTAGGTGCCTGGCAATATTTTCTAACCTAAAAGCCATAGTCAGGGTACTAAAGAGGACTGTGTAACAAGTGGCAAAACAAAGGAATATTTGCAAATACACCATCACAGTAGTCCTAAGTAGAATCAACTGTTTTAACAGTAATGTTACTGTGAGATCTGACAAGACTAATTTACCAAAACTCCATTAAGGTTTCATGTGGCTCATCACAGAAAGCAGTCAACCTCTGTGATAATATCTCATTTATTTACAGTGCATTTTACATGCTTTATAAATCAAGCTTTGGTTTATTTCCCTCTTTTAGAATGAGGATGCTACATTAAATGTATAAAAGTGCTAAATGACTGTAAGACTTAATTGGAATATGTGTTTTGTGCAATTTTTGGAGTAACACTTTAATTTGGTAATTGGAGTTAGTTCTCTCTGGGGGTCTTGTTTCCCACATCAGTAGACGGAGTTTATTCAGAAAATGTATAATTCTGTTACAAATGAAATATCAAGCCTCATTTATCTTCCTATGTCTCCACTTCAGTGTTGCTATTTAGTGAAAAATTTTCCAAATCACAGGAATCAGGAACTTCATTTCAGCTGATTTTGGCTTGCTCCTAAATTCCTGAGGCTATGAGTTTCAGAGTAGAGAGTTCCTTTATTTTTGGACATGTACACAAATTGTTTAGAAACTGGCAGAAAACAAATGTGCATTTCCTTCATTAAACAGATGTTCAATGAGCTCCCAATTTTTTGGCTTGTTTATCTTGAGAAAAATGTGTTTTTAACTTCTTACTGACAAATGCTAAATCAATCAGGTAATGGCAACAGCAAACAATAAAGGGAACCAGGTGTGATCCTTGAACCCCACAATGAGATATAAGTGGAAAGCAAAGTCACCTGACCAGAGATGGCAACACATAGCCAAACAAAGTGAAAAGAGAGAACTACAATGGTTAATTCAGAACCTTTATAATTCTAAAAATCATATTTTTTGGAGATGTCCTCAGGGAATGAGGCTACAATGTGAGATTCGTGCTTCTTATTTGGCTGAATGTAATCTTCTTTATAGTTCTTCTTCCTTCTATCCTCCTCCCATCTAAAAACTCAGCAAAATTCCAAAGATATGCATCTAGTTAAAAGGGAGAGAATAAACTCTTGGCCTTCTCCTTTAGAATGACATTAGCATCCTACTTATACTAAGTGAGAACAAAAGGATAATGAAGTTCTTTGTGTAATGTCTCATTAATGAACTTAATTATCCTTAGAAGGCAGGTCACGGATAATGCAGAATCTATTTTAATCTAATAGAAAATAAGCTAAGCGTGAGTAATTTCTGAAACAATGGGGCATTTCAGGGGACTTATGAGTTTTAATAAAGCTAAGGGGGTTGAATTCAATACAACTTATAAGGCAATGTGTTGCGTATTTTCTCCCCCAGGGAACTATAGTAAGCCATTCATGTGGCTCCATGAAAGTCATTTTCTTTTACTGACATGGCCTTTTTTTCTGCCTACTATATTTCCTTTTGAAATATTCTATTAGAAATAGTTTAAGTGTTCTAGTTTTGTCCTGGTCAGTTTGGCTTAGTGGTTGGAGCATCATCGGCCCACAGGCCAAAGGGTCCCAGGTTTGATTCTGGCCAAGGGCACATACCTCAGTTGCAGGCTTGATTTCAGGCCCAGGTCAGGTAGAGTGAGGGAGGCAATGAGCTGATGAGTCTCACATCTACTTTTCTCTCTCTCCCCCTTCCACTCTCTCTGAAAAGGCATGGAAAAAATATCCTCGGGTGAGGATTAAAAAAAGTAAATAAGTATCCTAGTTTGTTAAATACACTGCTTTATAAAGCATTTAAAAAAAAATAAATTCAAATACCTTAGCCATATATTGAACCTCAAAGGTCTGAAGAGAACAGGAAATAGGATTTTTTTCCTAGAGTCACACATAACAAAAACATAGATTCCTTAGATGGGGTAATTGACCTATTAATTATATCTTCAAAGAGGATTATAATGTCTCAAACTCTACAACCACAGAAACTCAGTAAGTTCCCTCAACAAGGGAAGACCTGATGATACATCATCCATACTCTACCAATCCCTTCTAGCTCCCCAGGTCAAGAAGCCCCATTTAATAAAGGTATATTAGTGAAAGATTTGGGGGAATTAATAGACTACGAGTGAGATAATAATTGTGCTAAATAAGCTATTTTACAACCACTTTAGGAAGCTCTAGTGTTGGAAGCCTCTTAACTTACAAATAATTAAACTTTCTACCCAATGATCTGAAATGAGTTCCAGGAAACAAATATTGCTAAAAAAATTGCTAGTCATAAATGCATTTCCTTGGAGTAAACTGCTAAAATGTAATTTACATTTGATTCCTGAACATTTATGCATAGATATAACAACTTTTTCCTAAATTACTCTGTCATTTAAAAACATGCATTTATAAAAAATGCCTCATAGATACTTGCACATCACTTCGTCATTTCATAATATTTATTAAACATTCAAGAATATTCCAGATAATGTGTGTGGCGTGGGGGTGGGAGGAGGGGAAGGAGATAGGAATCCTACTCCTGAGACATTTACAAAATATTAAAGATGCAGAAAAAGCTAACAACAGCTAATATTTATACAACACTTGGAGGATTCCAAATTGCTTTCACAAACATTATCACATATTTCCATGCAGGGGGTTAATGCCTTTTTACCAGAAAGGAGTTCAATAAATGCAGCAAATCTATCTAGAAGCAGAGAAAGAAAAAACAAAACAAAAACATGAATAGATCACGAAATTTACCTCTGTGGCAGATAATCGCTTATCTCCATTATCACTTCCAACGCCTGAATCAGAATCCTTCTTGCTGGGATAGATGCCATCAATATTAAATTCATTTAGAAAAAAATTAAAATCACAAAGTTCACAAGACATATCAATTTATATTCAAATAATGAGTTTGCTATACAAATTTTTATTATTACCATAAGGCAACAAATCAGCTCACTATTAAAGGATAAGACAAGGGCCTAATGAAAACCAGATACTTGTACTGTCTAAATAGAGAACAAAAATTCTTTGTGTTCAGGGTTTCATGGATTTACACTTTAACCAACTAATCTGTTGTTTGAAACAGTTAACAATTTTCTTATTTTACTGATTCTACCATATAAAAAAGCAAAACTACCTAATTGCTTACCTCTTACATTTTGCAATGATGGTAATTTTGAATAATGCTGTAAACTTTAATCCAGTGACTAAATAAATTTGATAGTATGTTTTTAAAAATAATGAATACATATTTTAAGCAGCATATAAAGGTACCGTTAGGGTAGTCTAAGATTTTAAGTCATAATTGTCTTTTTCAGTAAAAAGTTAAGGAAAGATTTCTGCAATGAAGACTTCTCAAAAACAATCTGTGTTCTATAAGTGTGTTCAGTGTGGGAATTTCTTTCTCCGAAAATTCAAGGCCTGATTTATGCCAACAAAAGGCCAAGGACATGAGAAAAGATTCTAACACTTCCATTCTAAACAGGAAATGGCAAAACTATGCATACTGCTTTTTTTTTTTTTTTTTTTTTAAATCATATCTTTATTGACTTCAGAGAGAGGAAGAGGGAGAGACAGAAACATCAATGATGAGAGAGTCATCATTGATCGGCTGCCTCCTGCACACCCCCGACTGGGGATCAAGCCCAAAACCTGGACATGTGCCCTCCTGACGGAATGGAACCGCAATCTCCTGGATCCTAGGTCAATGGCTCAACCACTGAGCCATGCCCGGTTGGGGCATACCACATTTAAAAAAGACAATTAAAAAAATAAAACCTGTAGTTTTTCTTAATGTTCTGAAGGCATATTAAAAATTAATAATTTAAAAAGGCATAACTGAGCTTGATATCATTGTTTTAATTGATAAGCAAAATGTACCTATGTTTATTTCTTTTAATATGTTTTTATTGATTTTTGAGAGAGAGACAAAGGGAGAGGGAAAGAGAGAGAAAGGTCTATGTGAGAAAGAAACACTGATTGGTTGCCTCCTGCACACACACCCTGACCAGGGATCCAACCCACAACCTGGGCATGTGCCCTGACCTGGAATTGAACGGGGACCTTTTGGTGCACAGGACATCCATCACTCAACCCATCTGAGCCATACTGATCAGGGTCCTATGTTTATATTATAGATCTTATTTATAAGGATACACACATACATACACACACACACATGAGTGTACACATACAACACTCAAGGAGGACTGATTTTTGATTAGGAGAGAGTAGGTAAGACTTGATAAATGTCAAAATGGTATCAACAGCATCAATTTTCTCTTTCCTATTCCAAAAGTTGCTGAAACTCTGAGGTATAAATCTGCATTGGTTGTGGCTCAGGGTTGAGCATCGACACAAGAGGTCACTGGTTTGATTCCTGGTCAGGGCACATGCCTGGGTTCAGGGCTCCATCCTCGGTCAGGGGCCTGCAGGAGGCAGCAGATCGATGTTTCTCTCATCAATGTTTCTATCTCTCTATCCTTCTCCCTTCCTCTCTCTCTAAAATCAATAAAAACATTATATATATATATTTAAACCTGCATGGGTTGAGTGAAGCAAAGGAATTTTGTTTAATTTAGTTACCTGGAATGTCTTGGCCTAAGAAAAATTCTAAAAAGGGGCTTTGAGCCAGGGCAGTCACACTCACCTGTCTTCCACATGCTGGTGTAATTGTGGCCTCTCCATCGTGTGGAGATAAAGGGAGTCAGTTGCCTTAATCTGACAGGCCTGTATGCTCAGATACTTGAATATGTGCACTTTGCCCTTTGTGCAAATCTATGGAGAAATTAATAGTACATATTCATTGTTTAATGGCAAAACAAACTATAAAAACACTAGATATCTGACTCTGTAAATAACAATTTTTGCATTTTCATTTTAAGTAACACTTCAACAATGCACACCAAATTTGACTTCTACAAAACATAAAAATTTAGGCAGTCATATCCTCCAAATTCCACTTTGAATAGAAAGTCATACTCAAGCAATTTATAGTGTGTCTTGCACTAAAATGCAAAATTCTAACAGAAATGTGTTTAAATATAAATAGCATAAAAAGTATAGAAGTCAGCTCACTGACCTGGAAACATCCCAATTCTGGAAGTATGTGTACTTCATTTTTTCTCATAGTTTAATATTTGAGCTTGAATCTTGTCTCTAAACAACCAATAATTATATTTCCAAATGCTTAATCTCCATTTTCCAGCTAACATTAAAGTAAGGAATATATTACTTTTTTACTCCAGGAAAAAGTTTCTAACGTATGTACAAATAATAAAATAATCAAACATAATTCTGGATTGTGGTGATCAGAAAAGTGAGCCCAATGCTGGCAAATGGACTTGGTGTAGCAGGAAACAACTTATTATAGTCAGATACACCCATAGCTTCATCTTTTTAGAGATTGTGACTGCTTATAATCATGTCTAACGCAATATTAAATCAGCAGAATATTAACAAAATGGCTCTGCCAAGAGTTGCCTAAGCACTATTGATGGCATATCCCACATATCTTTGCCGGACCCTCACCTGTGCTGGAGGAGACTGTAAAGGGTTATTTTCAAGTAGTAATACTTGCAGCTGCTTCATCTCTCTAAAACAAATGGGAATCACGAGCACTTTATTGCAGGAGAAGTCAAACTTTACCAAGGGAAGATCTACTAGTTCTAAAGGAATAGAGAAAAAAAGAAAACAAACAAACAAAAATACTCAGAAAAGCAATTAAGATTAAATGGCCAAACGTTCAGAAATTTACTTTCTGCTTATCATGAGAAATGTCACTTAGCATAATCAAAAGCAAGTTGTGCATTAGGAATATATAGTATATGCATAGGTATAATATTCTGCCAAAGGGGTGGGGAAATCTTTCAGTGGGAGTCCAATACATTTGAACTGTTGTTAGTTCTGATAAGAGCTGAAAATACTTGATATTTTCAATACTTATTGTTTAAAAATGCTTTTATCCTCTCAGCAAAGCAATCACATAAGCCACACCACACAGAATGTGTTTTAACTTCAAAATGTTTTCAACCTGTACTGTGATAGGCAGTTAGACAGACATGGGCAGAGCAAGGACGATGGTCCAGGTACAGAAGGTCACCAGGGTGCAAAGCCCTGGGTGCCTAGCAACAGACAATTGTAGGGTGGGAACCTCGCCCCCAGGGTGACCTTTCCTCCAATAGCATATAGCTGGTCAAGAGATTTAGACCCCCTGACTTTTCTTCTCTAGAGATAACATCTAGGTCTCGGTATATTTCAAATCCAGGCTCCCCAAAGCAGCAAAACTAGACAAGCAACCCTCAGGACCAACTGCATTGGATAATGACCCCATGCCCTGGTGATGACCAGTCAATCAGTGGAGACCCTGACCCTGAAAGGACATACCTGGAAAGCTGAATATTCTATTGAGATCCTCCCCTAATAATTTCCATCCTTACAACTCTTAGGATGAAGGAACCAGTGTGCTCTCCCTCCCTGGAGCAAGCTGTGCCTTTCCCTTTCCCCTCCCCCTCCCCCTCCCCTCAGGCCTGTCACCTTCCTCACTTCTAAGCTCCAAGGGTTCTTCTTTTGCCTAACTAGTTTCCTAAGCCCACTTCTTTTATGAATTACTTCTTCTACCTCTGTGATCTTCTAAATATATGTTCTCTTGTAGTCTGAGTCTTGGCTCTGAATTCTTTCCTAGCCAGAACTCAAGTACCAAGGTTGCTGAACCCAGGTCGGCTTTGACCGCACTGGTCTAACACCTGGTACTATTCTTGCCACTGCCAACAGTACTTGATAACATATGAATAATATGCTAATTATAAAATATTCCTATCAAAACCATTTAATCTATCAAGGCTGGCATGACCTCAGAACTAGTTCCTAGAAATATGTTAATGGTTTATTTAACTCTACTTTAAAAAATAAATGCTATCTAATTCAGAATTTTGTAATGAACCCTGTAATCCTAATTTGATAGGGCTTTATTCTACTGCTTTAAAAAGTCTTCGTAGCTTCACAAACAAGGGAGAACATTATATTTAGCTTAAAATCCCCACCCAGTGGCATAGTAAACACTCAGTAATTTCAAGCATTCCAACCGACATTGGCAGCTGCAAGAAACAAGTCAAATATATTCCATACAGCAACGAGGCTGAGCCACGCCAAACATGTAGGGTGGCACGAGACAAACCACTAAGATCTCTGAGAGGCTCCAGAGGGTTCATTTCAGAACAGCCTCACCACATTTGTTATGGGACCTGGTAAGGGTTGAAACATCGTGCTTTCAAATACTCAAGGATTCCAATGAGGAGGAAGGGCAGAAACTATAAATAAAAGAGAAACCAAAGGCAGTGCTCTGGAGTAAGAATTAACACAGTTCCTCCTCCCCACCTAGACTGCCCCAGGGTTTTCACTTCACTCAGCTATACTAACTTTCAAGTTCCACCAAGAGCCACCTAGCAACCAGTACCTGTTCTCCACAATTCTACTCACTCTGTGTTGTAAAGGACTTTCTTTCTTTGATACCTTAGTAAGCTACTTTGTATTAAAGAAAAGGAGTCATGGGACTACAATGCTAGAAAGAAGGCAGAAGAACATGGAACTCAGCAGGTCCCAAACTCAGGTCCAGAATAGGTGGCTGCGTTAGAGAGACTCAGGAAGTATATTTTTTTAAATTGCCTTGAGTTCACTGCTCAAACCCAGCTCTCCTGGCCAATAGCAGGATAAATTACTTGCCTCAGCACACACCAGTCCTGGTGATTGCCTTAAAGGAAAGGGCTTTGAACAGAAAGAGGTGGAGAGGGAGGAACAGCTTGGAATCCAGAAAGTCAAAAGAAAAAAAGGGGAAAGTAGTTTCATTTCAGTTTCTAAAACAGGTAAGAATTAGGGGGTTATTTATAAAAAGAGTACAGTATCTCTTTGCCATAACCTCTGGTAATATTAATCCTCCTCTGTGATGATTAACTTTACTCACGAAAATTAGGCTAACAAAATAGTGGCAATTTTTCTTTTTTAAGAATAGTTTATTGATTTTTTTTTGAGAGAGAGAAACATACACACCCTACCGGGGATCGAGCCCACAACCCAGGCATGTGCCCTGACTGGGAATGGAACAGGCAATCTCCTGGTACATGAGACAACAGTGGCAAATTTTAATTGGACACGGGATCTTTAGGAATTCTTTGCCGCTTAAAAGGGAGACTTTTTAAAGCAAAACTGTAGTAGGCAGTTAGACAGACAGGAGCAGAGCAAGGACAATGGGCCAGCTACAGAAGGTACCGGGCACCTAGCAATGGAAAATACTAGTAGAGCAAGTACTGGAGGTAGGTATTGTTAACCAGGACCTTGCCCCTAAGACACCCCCCCCTCCACCCTAGAATGCCTCCAGTCATGCAGGTTGGATTCTCCTGACATTTTCTCCCCTGACACATGGTTAAGCCACGTGGTAGACCTCCACCCTTAGAGGAGAACAAAGGGGCTGAAGGAAGCCCCATCTACCTTCCATACAAGGTCAGAAGACAACTGGACAGACCCCTATAGGTCAGTTTGAAGAAGAAGGCAGATGACACCCCTCTGAGGGTTTAAAAGGAGCCTTAGTCCACTCCTTAGGGCAGCTCTTTGAGCTGCCCGCTCGAAATTTCTCTTCTAGTGTACTTTCTCTTTGCTTGCCCAATAAGCCTTCTCTAGCAAGTTTGAGTCTTGACTCTGAATTTTTTCCTAGCCAGAACTCAAGTGCTGAGGTTGCTGAACTCAGGTTGGGTCTGACCCCTCTTCAGACACCTGGTACCATTCCGCTGCCTGCAACAAAACCAGAGGGCTGAATTCTTGGAAGACAGCAGGAGGGGGTGGGGAAGCCACTTACAGGTAAATAAAGTAGGAATGGCAATAACCATCTTTGTTTAGGAAAACTAGGACCTGACAGTTCCACAACAAGAAAATGGGGGGGAAATGATAACTCCAGCCCAGGAAATGTCAAAAGAAACAGCAGCAAAAGAGAATAAGGGGGTAAAAAAGGAATCACATTTCTTTTCTTTGTTTAGAAGAGGGGCAATGAATGGCTACTTTAATCCTTTATCCATTCTGGTCCTAAAAGAACAAAATGTATTCTCATTGCAGCCATTGTAGTAAAATTGTTATGGGTAATTAGGCCACAAACATTTTCCCCCTCCTCAAATTGAAAGCATATGAGGAGGGATACTCAAGAAGGAAAAACAAGTAAGTAAATATAGGAAGTCTTTAAGTTCCCTGCCTGAAAGCATTATCAATGCTCTTTTGTTAATAGAGTTCTCCAGAGTGAAGCAAAAAGAAACTTGATATTCAGGAAATTATTTTTTAAATGATTTTCCAGTACACTGATGTTTTAGCTTTGAGTGGATTTTAAAATATTGAACCTGAGTAAACATAATTATGGAAAGTATAGAAATTTGTAAATGATCTTTTTAGGGAAAGGAATGCTTTTAAGGTAAGAGAGTAAGGAGTGGTGAGAGGAACAAAAACTTTCCTTTTGTGCATGCACTTTCCACACATTTCTAAACTGTGGCAGGCAGTTAGACAGACATGAGCAGAGCCAGGATGATGGGGTATGTACCAAAGGTGACCAGGGCAGAAAGCCCCAGGTGCTTAGCAAGGGCCAATTGTAGGGTAGGTGGCCTTTCTTCCCCTAGCATGCAGTTTGGATCCCCTGACCTTTCCTCCCTAGAGATAGCATCTAGGCCTCAGTTGTATTTCAGCTCCAGGCCCAGGAAAGCAACAAATCCAGCCACAGCTGACCTCAGGTCCAGCTGCCTTGAATAACAACCTCCCTGTCCTGGTGCCAACAAAAGGCCATTCAACCAATGGAGGAGACCACAACCCTGAAAATTTCTGAATAAATGTATCTTTTGACTTGAACTCCACAGAGTATATCAGGACACCCTGGGGAAACCCACAGAAGCAGGGAACCCAGTCTGGGTCCAGAGCAGGGCTGTCTGAGGAGCTCAGCACTGAGGCTCTGGAGCCATCACTGCTTCCAGCCTTGGAGAAATTCACCCAAACTATCAGTGACATTAGTCCAAATATCACTTCAGCAGGGGCAGTGCCCTCCCCTGAAGATTTTAGACACAAGGATTCCCAAACAGGACTCCCTGATCCCCAAAACCAGAGACCCTCACAGTCAGATCTGCACGACCAAACATGTCAACTCAAATGCTGGCACGATGTTTCAGAACATCACAAGTCCACACCAAAAGCAATTCATGTTGCCTCCAGTTATGGTCTGAATAGTGTGGCCCAGTGCCTCAGAATGTGACTATATTTGGAGATAGGGTCTTTAAAGGGGCAATTAAGTTAAAATGAGGTCATTAGGGTGGATCCTAATCCAGTATGACTGGTATCCTTCTGAGAAGAGATTAGGACAGAGACAGGGAAGACAATGTGAAGACACAGGGAGAAGATGGCCATCTATAAGCCAAGGAGAGAGGCCTCAGAGAAATCAAACTGGTTAACACCTTAATCTCAGACTTCTTGCCTTCAGAACTGTGAGAAAATAAATTTATGTTGTTTAAGCTGCTCAGTCTGTGGCACTTTGTCATGGGAGCCTGAGCAAGCTAACACACACACACACACACACACACACACACACACACACACACAGCCTTATACAGGGGAATGTTTAATCACTGCGCCCCTTCACTAAAATTACTACTTGAATATAACTTTTCTGTTATCTGCATGTGATATTCAAATTATAATTAATATTAATAGGCATACACAAACACAAAAGCAAACAAAAAAGAATCAAAGTCTCTTATTTTATTCATTTCCCCTCTTTCTTTTTTACCTTGTGGTAAAACTTTAAGGTAATTTCTTCTGACATTTAGTTCTCGTAGAGATTTCAATTGACCTATCTGCTGGGGCAAGGCTGTGATCTCGTTGCAGCTGACATCCTGTATAGAAAGCAAAGAGAGAAATAATAAATGCCTTTTTCCAGGACCAAGAGCTTCATGTGGAAAGCTCCTTAAGAGACTGAAATGTGAGGACAACTACACAGGTAGACTTTCACATTGGTCTCCAGGTTCCTAGCCAAGTAAGGCTTAGTACAGAGGAGAAAAGTTCAACAATTTAAACATTCTCTAAGGAGAGGAAAAGGAAAAATGAAGGAAATTGGTAGCCTCCAGCAGCTACTCTGCCAGCCTCTTGGCCTGCTGCTTTCACGTGCTTCAATCTTACTTCGTTCTCACTTAAAACTCGAGGCAATATTACTAGCCTAATGTTTACAATAAAAAAATGAGGTTCAGGAAAGTTAAGTCATTTGTCTGAGGTTTGCAAGTGCCAGGGCTTACACTTAGAATGAATGACCAGCCCCACTGTTGAGCCATTCTCAGACAGAACCTCTAAATAGAAGAGAACATATCCTACACTTTCAAACGCTCACATTTTATAGTGAAAAACTATAAATATCAATGCATTGTTTGGATGCAATATTTATTTAAAATGGAGTTATCACTGGAGGGCTGGGAACCTTGGACATGAACACCTTTATCTACATTTTATAAGCAAGTCTGTGGGATGTGCAGAGTCTTTGCTTTGGAAGATTAATATCCTATTAATTGTTGATTGGAACTGAAGTATAGCACCCCATCTTCTACCCTTACAACCGCTACTTTAAAATAAACAAGAGCAACAAAATTTATTATGCAGAAGCAATGACCTTTTCTCCTTTCCTGGCACTGTGTAAAGAATTGCAGCCCACAAAATTCCAGAGGACAGATAACCGTAGAAAGTTAATTAACGCTTATCTCAGCTTCTGTATACTGCTTTGCTCGTTCCACCACCTGCATCCCCTCGACCGAACTGCTCCCCCTTAACCAAATAGAATGCAGTTTGTTTTTTCTGCCTTTATATTCTCCCTGCAAAAACTGTTTGGGGCTGCGAGTTTGTTTAGGGCAAGAGCCCATTTGCAGCTGCTGGTTAATAATAATAAAAAAACTCCAAATAAACAATTTAGTCTCTGTGTGAATTAGTCTCACGTAACCTGGGTATGACAAAATCCATGAAAAATGGAAGCATGACATTTTAAATCTTATATATCCTTATTATCTTCCCTAATCCCACTATTCCTCTTTCCTAATCCCACTTTTCCTCTGCCTTGCTCTCCACCCCCTCACTGGAGTTATTCCTTTAGTCCAGACTAGCTATTTTCGAATCGCTGGTGTGCCCCAAAAATTTTTAAAACATGCAATACCCGACTATTTATTCAGGGGCACTGACCTTTTTGCCTTAGATTGTCAAATAAAAAAATGACAACAATAGCCATCTGATGTGAATGAATCAAAATTATACCTTTTTTTCAGATCAGCAAAACTATATTTTTTGGTGGGTCACAGAATTTTAGTAATTAGTTCACGTGTGCCATGAGATGAAAAAGGTTGAAAATTAGTGCTCAAGATCAGTATTTTCTCTCAACTAGACACTATAATGGTCCTCGGATTGGTTTCCATGCTTCATTCTCCTCCCTAGATCCATCCTTCCCAGAGGGAAAATTTACACAGTTTAAATTTCATTATGTCATTCACCAGCTTAAACATTTGCAACAGCTCCTCAGGAACTAGAGGACAAAGTCCCAAACTCCTCAGTAAAGCCCAGCTCTACGATTCGGGTCTGTATTTCTCCAACCTCATCTCTCTGAATGCCCTCCCCTGTGCCCTATCCTCAAACTGGGTTATTGCTGCTTGTAGTTCCCAATGTGTGCCAAGCTGCTGCACAGTCACAAACTTGTTCAGGCTTTTCCCCCGTCTGGTATGTCATTCCCAAGTACTGTGTTCTTGTCCCACCTAATCATCTTTTAAGACTTGATTCAAGCCTCACCTCCACCCCGAAGACTTTCTTGAGCTTCCGTCACCTCTCCTGCTCCAATCTAATACCCAGGGAGAACTGACCATTTTTCTTCTGTGGCCCTACAGATCGTCTGTTACTGTATGCAGCTGCTCAAATGTTTCTCTTCTCCTGAAAGTCTGTGAGCTCCTAGAAGGAAGGGACCATGTCTTATTCACTCCATCTTCTTGGTGCCAAGCAGAATGCCAGGTGTAAGGTAAGGAATCAATAAATGTTGGATAAAGTGTGTAAGTCGATGCTGTTGATGCTCCAAAATGCTACAGTTTATTCTGCCTCACAGATGGGACACAAGGTGGTCCATCATACATGCCATCTTTTTCCGCAAAAAGGAAACCTGTTTCACTCCCCCCTTTAGAATGCACCAAAGCCTTGTTTCAAAACTGACTTTGCATTCATTCAGATAAGATGAACTCATCACTTACCATCCCCCTGAAACTCTGGGCTCTGTACAAAAGCAGGGCTACACAGAACACAATGGATTGCTGCCCTCTAACCTCATCTCATCCAAACATCCTCAGGTGACCTGCTAATCCATCAAGGTCATGAGGATATGAAATGAGTATCACTTGATGAAGAGGAATAATCACTCCTATCAAAGGGAATGAAGCTGTCATCTCTAAAGGCTGAGGGCACATGTGCTATCAGCCCTCGGTACTGTTCTGTCTACCGGGGGGCGTGCGATGGGTTAAGAACACTAGGTGTTCAAGGGCATCACCCCCAAGCTGGCTGTTGCTGCATTGCTCCTGGCCCAGAAAAGTCAAACAAAATTTTATGAAAAACATCCCTAGTGTTTAAAAGAAAAAACAAAACCACAATCACATCTGCAGAGACATAAAAATGTAAGGAAGTAATTTCAGAATTAGGAGGTTCAGAATCTGTCCAGCTACTCATGGTCCCTCACCGATAAGTAGGTAAATTACTCTGCCTTTCTGAATATACGTCCATGTACGAGAAGTGAAAAGTGAAATGCCTTCTTTCCCAGTTCTTAAGGCATTTGATCAGTGACAGAAGTCAACAACCAAATCTTTCACCAAAAGCTTTCTCTTTGTCTTAACCAAGTTACAAATAAGCAAAAGGTATCATTCCATTCTACTTTTCAAAATGGTACACAGGTAAGCCCTAGAGATATACAAAATTAAATCATTTATTGGACTCACAAAGTCATGTTGGTGATGTTTTGGGGGAGGGGTGTTGTGGGGGAAGAATTAGTGAGAATTATTTTCCAACTCTAGAGAGAATTTATGTAGTTGACAACTAAAATAAGTTTTTATAAGTGAGTGATAGCATGAGAAAGACCCTTTTGTAGTTCAAGGGAATCAGATTGTCAGTGTGAAACTGATAATTTAAAGAAGTTTCAAGGACAAAACTTTTAAAAACATCCTTCTCTTAAAAAAGAGAGAGAAAAGAGGGAAGCAAAAAGATAGATATATTTAGGCAGCATATTCACAGCATGAAATCTCATGAGATTTCCATCCCATTTTTTCATGTGTACTATATCCTCTTGCACTTCATTCATTACCCTCTGGTTAGCCAGAATTTAGGGTATCCTGTTTCTCTAAATATAAAGTTATTTTTCCAACATATATTTCTAACATAATGACTTTACCAAAGAAGATCAACTCCCCTCAACTATATTAAATACTTATTTATCAATAGGGAAAATGGTAACCAATTTACTTCTATATTTTTTTCTTTTTTAAAGAACTTCACATGATAAAAGTGAGTTCTTCCTTCTGACTTATAGGACCAGACATCTGTAGAAAATTAGAAACACAAAATCCAATTGTCCATTCACATTTTGAAGAGTATATGGTGAAGGTCAAATTATTTTAATAATACTCTTCACTCCTGTCAGTTACTTCCTGTCCTGCCAAAAGAATAAGGAAAATGCTAGGCAGACATAATATACAAGTGAGATAACGACTTTCCACTATAGAATATTCAATATTGCAGAGAACTGCACAAGACTCTATTCCCTTGCAGTTACTGAACTTGCCAAATTTAAGAGGTTATGAATTTTATCATAAAAATAAAACCCCTTAGGTAATTATGTCCTGATTAGCTGGGAAATGAGGCGGAGGAAAAAGATGATAATAGTCTTGCATGCTTGGAGATAAGATTTGTCTGCTTAGAAAATATAAAAGCAATATTGCTAGAATGGCCTGGTTCTCTAGAACATGTCTGTCCATAATTAGCCCAAGATAAGATAGGGTTGTTGTTGGGGGTTTTTTTTGGTGTTTTTTTTTAGGTCGTTAAAGGAAAGATTTGCCACGCTGTCGTGGCTCAGTGTTTGAGCATCAACCTATGAGCCAGGAGGTCACGGTTCAATTCCTGGTCAGGGCACATGCCCGGGTTGCAGGCTCAATCCCAGGAGGGGGCCTGAAGGAGGCAGCGGATCAATGACTCTCTCTCATCATTGATGTTTCTCTCTCTCCCTCTCCCTTCCTCTCTCTGAAAGCAATAAAAACATATTTTTTAAAAAAAGAAAAGATGATTTAGGAAAATAAATAAATAAATAAAACACACACTAATGCCTCATGCTTCTGAAATTAGAATTTACCGAGCTATGAATTACAGACTTAGTGGCTTTTAGAATAGTCAAATGGGTTCCCTCTCAATTATCTATTAGCCCTGAGCTATGTCTTAGAGAAAGAAAATTATTAAAAGTTTCAGGGAAGTCAAATTACCATATATTTAATGTCACAAAGTTACAAATATACAGGTAGACCAAAAAATGAATCATCATAAACATATAATAAATATTTATTAATTCTATTCTTTTTGACACAGAAATAAATCTAATTATTAAATACTTGAACTTCGGGTTTTTTATGGACCAGCCAGTTCAATTTTGTCATTTGGATAAAAAACAAAATAGAGAAGTTTAACTATGACTTAAACTTATTTTCCACTGGTTGAATCAATATGCTTTTAAGTAACCATATTTCATCAGAGCCTTTCCAGGCAATAAAGGAAGTCTCTAGAAATGTTAAATGCATGTTGAAGATTAACACACTTTTGCCTGCTAGGTGCTAGTTGCTAACTTCCTTTT